GATTTTCTAATTTTGTTAATCTTTGGTTCCTTTGAACCATGGAGCTATTCTTCTTATCAGCCTCAAAAGCCTGATACTATCACTAATACTAATCCATAGGCTAAGGCTACTTGTTCGAGACGAGCTTCGATGACTTGTATAGTCGTTCAAGAGAAAAACTTCTGAGTTATTCGAAAAAAATCAGCGTTACATATATACTAGTAGTAATAGCAAAATAAATGACGTACATGACTTTAAAAAGCGTCTTTTCAAAAAAATGCTTCATGGCACACTGTTTGTCACAGTGTTTTCTCTTGGATCACTTCAAAAGCATCTTTCTACTACACATTTTTAAAAATACTCTCTTTGCAATCACTTTGAAAGCGCGTTTTTTCTCGAAGTGCTCTAGTTTACAGCCGATCAAAAGTGATTTATTTTCTCTATACCTGAAAGGGTTATGTTTAGCCATGCGCTTTATAGCAAAACAGTTTTCATCAAAAACACTTATTGTAGCACTTTATTTTTTACAGTGTAGATTTTGAAATGTATTTCTGTGTAGTCTCTCAAAATTCATCATAAATAGTTCTGTATTGAATATTGAATCATAAATATTCTGTTCTAATATTGGTACTAATCTCATTTTACTCGGTTGCTATAATTCTCAAAATTTGTTTGAAAAGTTTGCCCATTAGTTTGTCTAATATTAAATCAGTAATTTATTGTTAGTAATTTTGTTAATTACGTTATCGGGCTTCTAGATAGGGGCAAACGGTTTATAGTGAATCTTTTTTTACCATTCATTATAATCTGTTAAATCGGAAAAAACTTCAAATCACACTATTCATTGAATATAATTAGTTGAACAAACAACATGATCAAAAAGAGTAAAGTAGACATTGAGAAATTAATTTCCCCACGCCGCCTTACGCTGATATATTTTTTGTCAAGTGACTTCTTTGATTTTACTATACAATACCATACAGATTTTTTTTCACTATTATATCGTATGTTTATTGATGAAGAAAACTAAGTGCCACGCCTGATATCATGATTGTTATTTGTGAGAGAGGGATATGCGTACAGATGTACTAAGAAAGTAATCACAACTAAGTAATATACAATAGACATAAGTGCGTTCCTTATCTAAGCACATTGATTATCCGCGGCATGATCAAATAAAACTCGTCATTGCCTCTTTCTCTCCCATACTTGACAGTATATAGTAAAATTTCAGGTATGTATGTATGTATATGGAGAACAAAGGATTGAAAATTATTTTTCATCTACGAACGATAAAAGTCAAGCATCTAAATTCAATATCATAAATTAATCTTGAACCACACCTAGTTTTTTCTCAATATCATGTTTCTAAAGCGATATACATCACACAGACAACGTAAATCCACTAGAGAAAATATTTAACATGAAAGAGTAACGACGACTAACAGCAGCTATGTCACCAATGCGTACAATACTCACCTGCTTTTACTTCGAGACAAATATTTTTATCAACTTTTATTGAGCTGTATACAGCCGATAGACTGAAATGAGAAAGAAAAAAATGGTTTTTTTCCCTTTTATTTAAATTATTTCGCCAGAAGTGAATTTTTGTTTCATTTTTCGGACTATAATATTTGTTAGTTGTCTCGGTACGATTTGAAGTTTGTCGATATTTAGGCTGTAGTCGAAATTCGTGATGTATACAAATCTGATTTATCACCGGATATGATGTTTTGAAAAACATCAATAATGAGAGATATTTGTCTCTTTTTTAAAACTGATAAGGTATTCGTTTATTATTCTAACACGTTCATTTCACTCTCGTTTTGTATGTTTCTCACATATACAGATGGATAGTGAACATTTAATTGTTACTTACACATAGTTGAGTTGAGTTATTCTAATCAAAGAATGTGTTATGAACGATTCTTCTCATTTTTCTCTCCTTTTCTCTACCTAACTGCATTTGTAAATGTATTATACTACATAGCTTTTTCTCTCTATTGTTCTTGCTAAGTTCATCCATAATGATAAATTCGTTTGCTCTAATCTGTATGTGACAATGGTGTGATAATAGTGATGATCGTGAGAATCTCAATCATATATATTTATTTATCTACAGTTATATGTTGTGTACGATGCATAGAAAACAAGCATGATGAACACACGACACATGTGACAATAATAAATAATCAAATTGAAGAATTCTTCATAGATAAGTCATTAATGACACGCCCACATACCGAAATTTCATTAATGGATCACAATAGATCATTTCTATATACGATACTGTACAGTAACAAATAAATGTGCCAGTTGTAGAGGGCACATTTTTTTTGTTATAAATTCATCCGAAAATTCTTGGTACATTCCATGACATTTTGAATACGTCGTCTTTGTGAACACATTCCATACGCCCTGTGATATACCAAAAAAAAATCTATATCCAATCCATAGCATATAAATGTATCCAATACGAGGACACATTGAATTCATTTCATGTATGTTCAGTTTTTCCGGTGCTTTCGGAAAAGATGTGATAAATGCAATATGTATATTTCGTTTTTCTTTGACTAATTATATAAAGAGTGACCAAATACTTTGAACATTGTACAGTCCTATTTCAGACTGCAAACACCGTTTGCATCTAGTCTCTCCGACTTATGAAAGCTTCTCATACAACAAAACTGAAACATCATAGTGTAATGCTCAATGTTAATCAAATTTATTTCGCTTACATTCTGGAAGAATAAACTTTTGAGAGAAAAAAATGTTAAACATCTTGTGGCAATAATATTAGATGGACAATTCCAGCGTCACGGTACATATTTGTGCCACTATAGATCTTCAATTAAAACAGGACTAAAGTCTCTCCCTATTGCCATCACATATTGGTAACTAGTTACTGAATATAGTGAAAAATTGAAAGTTATAAGTACTTGTTAAGGCTACTTTACATATGAAAAACTACGTTATCACAGACGTGCCAAAAAAGACAAGCTTTTCCAGTTATTACTAGCCTTGGAAGTAGCCTTAACAAGTACTTATAACTTTCAATTTTTCACAATATATTCAGTAACTAGTTACCAATATGTGATGGCAATAGGGAGAGACTTTAGTGCTGTTTTAATTAAAGGTCTATAGTAGTACAAAGATGTACGAACGTCACGTCCGTGACGCTAGAATTGCCCCTATATAGCTTCTATTCATTATAGTTTATACTTCAAAAATTAATCATCTGAGACTCTCTCGATCATCTTATCCTAAAAGAAAAAAATTTTTTACTCGTTTTGAAGAAAAAAATTGAGGCTTTTGGTCACTACACTGTTTTTCCAAAACCGAAAACTGTCCCCTCCCCTTCACAGACAAATCATAAAATCCTTTTGGTCTTGGACCACCTTCCCATTTTGTTTTAAAGTGCACAATGAAGAGTACGATTTTAATATCGAGACGAATTATTAAACGTTTACGTTAGGCGTACTAAATTCTTAACAATTCGTGACTGTCATAGTTTTATACTTTGTTTTTTCCGTTAAAAGAAGTATTGATTTTATTTAACACATTAGTTAACTTTTATTTACTAATATTTTATGTAATAAATGGGCTGAAAGTGTCGAACACATGGCACGTTTGTATCAATCTACGAACAGTTGTGTGGACAGGTTTTCTTATTTTTACATTATTACAATTCTATAGGTAAAAGGACACATCGATTAAATAGAATAAAATAATAAGTAAGTTTAGTGAAAAGGTGAATTTGAAGGAGTTTACGTGAACTCAAGTATAAGAAAATACAGAACATAAAAGAAATGTATTATACCATCTCCATTGTTTGTGTTTGAACTACAATTTTTAGTGACTATGATAAGACTATCGTTGCTTTAATTTTGAATTATAATAATAATAATAATAAATGTCATTTCTGAAATGCGCCTGTCTTGTTGCTAATGATCAATGAGTTAAAAGTGAAATTATTCTCCTCAAAATGTCTCATCACTTATAAAGAAAAATTTGAAAAACTAGTGATATGATGTTACACTAAGAATTGATCTACATTTTGACAATGTGTTTGTTTTGTGTCATTGGTTTAGTTGTTTACATTAATAAGCCCATTAGAGTGTATTTGACAAGATAAATAAATATCGTAAAGAAATTCAGAGGCGGCAGAGCGAGTTAGAAGCTCATTATCCACGCATTTTAGAGGTGGAAGTGGGGAATTAAATGTAAATTGATTTCTCTTGAAGAAGACAATTTTGAATTAATTTAAATTAAATAAATATTAAGATAAATATCGAAATATTATTCTGGTATTTACTCATTAAATTTTCTAATTTTATCTACGTTGACATACTGGCATTAAAGTGTCGAATCGAGGTGAAATCCTCGTTTCTCTATAGTTCATCAAACATACGTTTGTAATAGAGAGAGAGAGAAATACGAGTCAAAGATAGCAAATATATAGCGATTAGATGACAAATTCAGACAAGATAAGTTTTTAAAGTTATCGGAGGCCGCTCAGCATCCTGTCTTGCGGTTTTTTTACATTCACAATCTGCGAGAGCGTCGTCATCACTACGCCAAGGATTCCACCACCTATTCTAATCAGTATTAGAGAGCCTATGCAATCGCTGGTTATCTGATTGCAGATTTGTTAGATGGGCTCAATTTGCTTAACTAAATTGTGAATGATTGAACTTAAAAGATCTATTTCTTTAATTTCACACAAAAATGTTTCATATAAGAACTCAGATTCAGCATTTTTTCGATCTCATTTATTCTATGATCTGATTAAATAAATAAAAGAACGAACGAAAACAAACCCATTTAAATGACAAGCAATATTATTTTTCAAATATCCAATCACATATTGAATTTTTTCCTTTTTTTTTCGTCGTCACAAGAAAGAGAGGAGAGAGAGAAAAAAGAAGAAAAATTGAAATTCTATTTTATTCTTTCACATCATATTTCTTACCTGTGAACTGAATATAGAAGTTTCATTTCGCATTTATTTTAAACTACACATGACAATTCCATCATCTACATCCATGACAAATACAGATAAACTTAAAAAAATTAACTTATATCAAAGTAAATCATTGCAAGAAAAGATGAAAAAGGTCACAACAATTTCAACTACTACCGCCTCCTCATCATCAACGTCTAATTTAACAAAAAAAGAATTAAAAAAATTAAAATCTCTTTTACCAACATTAAAACGAAAATCGTCATCATCACCGATTGAAATTGTAATGGAAACAATTCGATATATTAGAGAATTAGAAGAACAATTAATCGATAGATTCATGGAAACAGATTTGAATACATCAAGTAAGTGTGCGATTTACTAAAAATAGTTAAAAGAACAATAGTTGATAAAGCAAGGAGATCTCCATGCTCATAGAGTCAGACAATAAACTCTCTTTCATTATTGAACATGTGATCTATTAGTAGTACACAATGTGTGTATATTAAATATAAATTTTGAGAATAGGAGTATAAAATGATTATGAACGATGCTAAAAATTTCTCTTATTTCTCATTAAATTTTTGTTTCTTAATTGAAAATGTTATGTTCTCTATTTCAGACGTGAATTCAATAATACATCAGACTGGGAATAATCAGTCAGATAATTCAGATACATCATCATTATCAGATATATCTGACACAATTCTACAATCATCATCGGCTCATTTAACTGAACATCCATTACGAGACATTGGTAATAGTGAATAAAAGACAAATATCATATTTACAAATATCTTCACTCTGAGTCAAGAGTTCGAAAATCGTAATTGGATATTTTCCTATCATCTAATATTACACGTACACTATACCACAATCAAGTAAATACTATAAATCATCTCGTGTATATATTTATGGTTTTATTTTAACGGACATTTTTTGTTTTGTCTCCACTACCACAACGATCACACAGTGAAAAACGTATCCTCTTTGTATATAACATTGCAATAATAATAAAATATGGTGTATAGTCATTAATTTTACATTATTTTATAAAAACGGTACATATAGACAAGCATCGATTCGTTATTGTTCATTATAAGTACATGTTATATAAGATGAAAAATGTCATTCGTACAGGTGGTGTATTGATATGGAAAGAAGAGAAAAAGAAGAATACAATATGATTAATGTTTATACATGATAGAAATAATTGAAATAAGTGAAGAAAGAGACATAATCAATCTTTGAGACCATAGTTTCATAACTAAAGTGATTTTCATTAGATCATTTTCTCATTCAAATATATTTCACTTGTATATAATCTTTAATGGCACAAATTAAAGGCTAATAAACGGAAGAGAAACAAGAGATTATTAAATAGCTGAACTTGACAAAAGAGGATTTATTGTAGCTCTGTATAGTTTATAATTTATTGTAAAATATACTAAATTTATTCTCCTTTTATGCTAAAATATTTATTATCAAATTCGTACATTAAAATTATTCAGAAAACATTGTTAAATTGCAGCATTTTCGAAATTAGAGAGTCGTTTTCAAATTTTTGATAAAATTTTTCGAAGAAACTCTATTATTCAGTTAATATTGCTACTTAGTTTTTTTTACAAGTAGAGTACATAGTCTTCCATTAAAGGTTATCAATCAGAAGGAAACGAAACAGAACTAATAGCATTGAGCATCCTTTTCGTTGTTGTTATTTTTTGGAAATGAGCCTGGCGGGTAAATTTTTATCCACTGTTGATACATAAAATAAAATTGTCATTTAAAATATTCACTCTTGATTTCTATCTAGCACAACAAAAGATAGAAAAAATAAAAAATAAAATGCTGCATGTCTGAAACAATAAATATATCCATTCCATTTCGATAATTTAAATTTGATTCATTTTCATGACAATATCTTAGTACATTTGTGTTATACGTATATATGTGTATTTGTATATGCAAAATAGTCTCTTTATCAAATTTAAATTATGTTTACTTAACCATCTCTATGAGGTGAATGTGATCTTCACCTCGTCTTGCATGCTTAAATTTTAGTATAATCATTGAGAATCCATAAAAAAAATGTCTAAATATACACACACACACACATCTATTTATACATAAAAATATTCATCCTATTTGGACGCTATTCAAAGAAAACAAACTTCAACCGAGAAAATAAGAAGGGGAGTAAAATTCTAAGAGGATCATTAACGTTGCCTCTTAATCGGTTATAAAACCAATAAATCATGTTGAATATAGTTCAAATATTGTCACATGTATCATAGTCATAAACAAATAAATAATGATTTCTTATCCAAAAGAAAGTTTATTTTATGCATATCAAATGATTCGAAGAGTTTAGTTTATATGACAGAAAAATTATAATATTGTTTCTAACTATAATATGTTTTTCGAGAACTCTATTTTTCAATAGTATTACTTTCATTAATATATGTGAAAATTGTATGTACTGATGCACAGAAAAAAAGAAAATCAATACTAATTTAAAAAAAACATGAAAACAGTAGATTTTCAAATAGTTTTTCTACTTTTATAGAACTAACGTGAACCTAAACTCTCAATAAACTGTGAAATGTGGGAAGAATGATCTTTTTTTTTCTTCTCTTTCGTTTCAACAGTAATGATTCACAGTTTGAGATACTCTCACAATATTTCTTCCACGATAATCTTTGATATTCCTCTTCGTTAGAGATGATATTTTGTTATTGCTATATACAATTGAAATTTTGACATTTCCATAAAAGAAAATGTCAACGAGATGCAACTGAACCTTTCGTTTCTGAAATTTACTTTCTCAAAATATTTGTTCTCTCGTCATTTTTCAAGAGCAAAACTTGAATAAAATGTATGGATTTTTAATTTAATTATGACAATCATTATTCCATTCCATATGTGTTTTCTTATTGAGGTGTGTTTCTCTTTTCTATTCATATAAGAACCGCTCATATTTCAAAAGAAACGGTGAATGAATATAACTTGAACAATCGCGATAACATGAAAGAGAAAAAAATGTCTGTTTTCAAGAAATATTTCACATATGGGTGGATCGATTATTGGTTTCTAATTAATTTAAACCGATGTTTTTTGGTACATATTGTTTTGATACATATTGTTGTAACATAAACAATAGAGGAAAGGTATATGAAACGTGCTTAGAGGGAGAGAGAGAGAGAGATGAAAAATAATTATTATGAATATCAAAATAAATCTCGTTTCCTTTCAAAATTTGACAAGCAAACAACAATTGTCACTTTTTAATTACCTCGAATATCTTAAGAAGTATCCTAACCTGCCACTAGCTATGTCGAAATCTTGTCAGTTAATTGAAAGTACTTGACTGTGTATCTAATAAAGATTAGGTTGATGTTTAATGAAATATATTCCGTTTCCCTCAAAGTAACGTTATTTTTAGATAATTAACTACGCCTTTGTCGTAAAACGGAAAATTTTGACTCTTGCCAATACCGGTACATTAGTTTTTAAAATCATAAATTTTGTCGACTATTTACTTTAACACATTTGGTTAGATTAGTTACTCGTAAATTAAACTAGATATTGCTTATTACTTTTCAGTAGGTAATCAGAGTAAAAAGAAAGATACGTCGGATTTATAGTGAAAACAAAATATTTGAGTTTCAAAACATGTTCTCTAGTATTCTTAGAAGAGAAGAAATTTTTAGAAATTAGTTCTTTTTATTCAGCGAACTTGTGTTAAGCATTCGATTTTTTCACTTTAACAATCATATATTCGGGATGTAATATGGTTAATTAATTGTTAAGTAAACAAGGGGTTATTATTACTAATGTTAGTTAAAATCGGCAACGAGGCTTATAACTTCTAATCTCTGAAAATTGATGTGATAGCGAAATTATACCGTACTGATGAACAAACAAGGTGACAATCGTCTCTAAAACGCTACATTGAAATTTATTTTCCCTTTCGTGGCGACACGGTGTCTGTGCCCAGTTAAAACTTATGCTGTTACCGTAGCCAAAAACAGTATTACGAATAGAAAGTTGTTTAGATGAACAAGAGAACGATACTCTGTCTGATTGCGATTAGTACTGAATACTACAGTTTAGCAGCTATAAATTGCTTCAATAGAATTAGACTACAAATATAAACGTTTCGCTTTAGTGAAATCTATCTTAGTAAAGCCAGCCACCTCACATTAATTAAGTAACGCAGAATGTATAGTACAGAGATTGAATATTCCCGTTTGAATAAAATTTAGAATGATCTTTGAACATCGAATAAGGTGTCAAAAATATTTTCAAACTTATGTTTATTTTCGACATGATATAACTCTCTCTCTCTCTCTCTCTCTCTCGTTCTCACATTATTTGAAGTTTGAAACTCTCTATTTTGTCACATTCTATTCAAAAGAAAATAAGAAACAATTTCCTTATCGCTATATTTGATTGTCAACACGATTTATGTTCAAAAGGTTAACTCTCTTGCGTATATAGAAAAAACTTGTTTAATTTCTATTATTTCCTACACACCTTTTTATAGTAATCGGTCTTAGTGAAGAGAGAGAAAACGATTTTTACACATCGTTTGAGTTTCTTAACATCATCCAGTTTGATAAACGTTCAAAAGAATTTCTAATCTTGTTGAAAATACGATATAGTTATTTGACACTTTACATAAGATAGGCGGAAGAGGAGGAGATTGACTTTGACGATATAAAATTTCATTGATACTAATGACAACTGTGACAAAATAACTAGTCTATTTACGTAAACAGTAAATGTACCAGTCTAAACGTACGTAAAGAATGTAGACTTTAATTTCATTCTTTTGTTGATGCTTAAAACGGTATGTTCTATTCATAGTGTAGTCATTATGACAAAAATTATATCAATCCGAATGAAAGATATGTTAAACGATTAGAATTCCCCTTTTCCTCGTTTTGTTTTGTTTATTACACTTTCTTCCAAGCAAAGAGAAATGAAAAAGAAAATGATCACTTTCCCACAATTTAGTTATTTGTGATGAATACCATTATTCTATTCAACAACCGTATTCCTTCGCTCTCTCTCTCTCTCTCTCTCACAATATACTCAGCATGAAACTACTTTTATTTCAGGTGCTAATAATCATCATCATTTCTTCAATAGAAAAGAAGAAATTACCAGTTTAGTTTTTCTGTGTCATCATCGATCTATTGCTATAACTATATGGTTATGATAGGTCTAACAACATAGCAATAAGTTTGAATATCCTCAAGACATCTGTATATATACATATATAGGCGTTCTAGTGGAATAATTTAAATTCCACTAATGATCATGTAAAAGAGAGTATAATATACACTGTGTACTAAGTTTATATCAATGATTGTTTGAGTTAAGCACATTTTACTTTTATACTGATTGCCATTATAATATAAGAGTACAAATAAGGAGTATGACACACTGAACTTATAGGAATGGTATTATCCAAGTCTAAATGATGTAAATGTAGAAAAATACAATCAAGATAGTTTTGATTTAGAAGATTTTTCTCATAGTAAAAATAGGAATTTAATATAATAAACTCAATGTTTTAAGTATGCGAGTAGTATCGAGAAATAGGTATTTGTTTTTAGTATCACAATTTTCGCATTAAATCATGTATTTTTTTGCTTGCATAATATGTTCTTCTCTTTCTGGAGCATTCATTTTGGATATATTATGAAACTACTGTACAATTTGGACATTGTACTCTAAAAATAGAAAGATTATAACAGAAAGTGAACACCATATTTTGATCTGATAAACTCATCTAAAGCACACACGCCTCCAAGATGTACACAAATTTTAATGAACTACAATTTAAGTGACTGGCGGTAATCGCTTCTACTTTATTGTACTTTAGCTAATGCTAGTCATGTAAATAGTTTACTCAATTGGCTTGCTTCACTCAAGATTTTCGAACGAGCTTAGTTTTTTATTCGTGTTAAGAATTGTGCCCTCCATTTCATCCTACCACGAGTCCAGGCATATTGGTAGTGTTCATCCAAGAACAAGTATTATCTGTGTAAGAACATCTATTTCATTCGTACTTATTAACAAGGAGGTGAACATAACGTGAGAGATAAATTTATGTCGGAAATCAAACTCGTGCGAGTGCTCATGTACTGAAAATCGTGCGTATTACATATGGATAAAAAAATGCCTTATTATTATTTTGCGTAGAATCATTTATATCAAACTCTTTTATTTTTTGACGTACTATGGGCAGAATTTGGTTTATCATCCTGTTGTTTATGGTGATGACAACAAGACGATTGAGTTGACCTGTGTAGGCAAGATATTAATAGATAGATCTGGATTCAATTCGAATTATTCTATTGTGGGGGAAAATATCAATAAATTTTCAACTCACCGATTTAAATCCCATACGTGTCGCTTGATCAGTAATTTTTCACAGATTTCGCAAGGAAACTGATGAGTTGTTCGTGTACGACCTGCATGAAGAGCTATTTTATTAACAGAATAATAGACAAAAATGTGTATTTGGTACCTAGTTTTCGTGCGGATGAAGCTCTCCCGCCGGGTGGTTTGTTGCCTGTGAGAAATTTATTTTTTTGTAATATTTTTTGAGCTGGATGATCATAACCTATCACTGGCTGACGAAGAACATTTTGTAGAATACTCATAGCTGACTCTCGTTCTAGAAGACAAAAAAAAAGCCTATAAAAGTATCTTGTCATTATAAAAGAAATCACCAACCTTTGTCGGTAGCATTGCGTACCCATGTGCCAAATTCAGAACTTCTGCTTTGAGAACGTATCATATTTCTTAAAGGATGCGACTGATCATTACTGGGTAACTAAAACAAAATTTTATGTCATACCTGGAACAAAATACTATGGATTTTGGAAAACTAGTGAAAGTTATAAGTAGTTTTATAAGTCACATACAAATCTGTTGCGCTCGTGAAAAATCGATGAAAAGTTAATTTATATCATTAAACAGCTGTCTATTAGATTTAATTATCTGTCAGTCATTATTCATTAGAAAAGATGTTTTCAAAATAGTGCCTAGCTACTGGCAAACAACAAAACGTTTTCGAGCTGTTTCTCCTACCGGTGTTATTGTTTCTCTGTTTAATCGATGAGTACCATTTGCTGATGAAACACGATAGGGTGGGGTCTCTGTTCTATCAGCAACGGCATTTAAACTTGTCATCGGTCGTCTCGTTGGTCTTTCGTTATAATTCCATTCATCTAAATTGTTTTCTCGTTGTTTTTGTTGTGATTCATAGTATGTTGGATGTGATGAATATTTATTCGTTTCATGATGTTCTTGTGCATCAGACGCTGTTTCTAATGCATCAATGTATTCATTTGGAAGTCCGTCACAGTCTACAACTTGAACGTAAACTGTATCGCTACTATTTTGATCACCATTTTCTTGCTGTTGTACAACAGACGAATTGGATGATGGCATAGTTGTCCACACCTGACTGTTGGTGCTTTCATCATCTGTTTGCTTCTTTTCTAATTCGTCTTCTCTTTGTCGTTGTACACTAACTGGTACCGTATGTGGCCGCTGGTCGCGAGTAAATGCTTCTTTGACCTCGGATGAGGGAAAATTATCTAACGATGGATTATAACGTTCTTTTCTTAAACGATAACGAGAAGTGCGAAGTTCTAACGGGGTTTCATTGGCGATATAACTTAAGAAATTATGCTCAACCGGTTGAGAAGCAAACGATGGACGTGATTGTTGATTTCTTTCATTATTCGATACTTGATTTTGACTTAAAGCTGATAATGAACGTTCACTCTCATACAGTTTTGGTGGATCTGATCGCAGTTGACCAAGTCGTTTTTTAATATCGATTAAATATTGTGGTGTAGTAGGATTTGGATATGTTAACCAGTGACGTGTTGGATCGTTCGGATCAATGGGCACTCGTTTAATTGGTGTTTTTTCTATTGTTTCATCTTTTTCCGTCGTACTCTTCGCAATGACAGTTTTTGGACGTTGTGGAACTAAAATGGATGAAAAATATAGTCGATAAAGACAAGTAAACAACCACCTATTTCACCCTCTGTTTCAAGCTTATGTTTGACAGATTGATTTTCGATCTACAAAGGAAAATAATGATTATTGAGCGTCTACCATATTTTTTTCATTCACAGAAGAGGCATGATTTATGTGAGTGAACGATATACTTACGGTTGAAGATGGTCGACGCTTCCATTCTACGATGTACACTGCCTTTTCACTGTCATTCGGATCGTCTATGAGTGTATCGTCATGTTTGAATTTGACTGACTTAACATTATTGTCATCAGATCTTTTTTCTTGACGATTTTCTACACGTTTTATTGTCATTAATGATTCTGACTGTGAATGTTCAGATTTTGGTGATTTGTTTGATTGCTGTTGAATTTTTAGTTGTTGTTTTTGATATTCTTGTCCATACGGTGAAATTTTTTTATCTTTCAATGTGTGATGGTATTGTTTCCATTTATAGTGGTCCGCATAGGTACTATTAAGATTTTTGAAGCCAATCGAATTTTGTAGTAACGGTTGAAATACTACCGATGGCATAATAATATCTCAAGACTAAAACAACAAAATTAACGAAAAAAGACGTTTTGTTTTAATACAAAAGAATTTCGTTTTCTTTTTCCGTCTCTCGGTTACAAAAAAGGGTTATATGAATGAGTGAGCGTCACAAGTTAAAGAATGAAACAAATATTTGTCAGTCACCATCAACACTTTCAAACCACACGTTTAGTCTAGGTACGAAATGGTCACATGATGACCTATTTATTGTATATAAGGATATTCTCTATTCAAATCTCATTAAACAGAAAGATATTACTTTCTGAAAACCTTCAGATACATGGTTTTATTAATGGTTCACACTTAAAAGACAAAGATGACACTCAATGGAGACAATAGTTTTACTTATTAGTCCTATACTGACACATTTTATGGCAAAACTTTTATGGAAAATAACTGAAATTTTCTTGACACTCATGTTGTAAAAAGGATTATTATATGTTTTGAAAACTAAAAGAATAAAATAAAAACTGTTTGTCATATATACATGTAATGCATGTACATTTTATTTCTGAAATTGCTGATGGTGCCATCGGTCTTCCGAAATTATGTGGCAACCAGACTGTTCATTCTGTCGGAGATGTTCGGACAATGCAAAAATGATATTATATTTAAATTTTGTTATTTTTTAATGTCTCATAGTGTCTATGACAAAAAAGAAAAAAAGGAAAGACAAATTTTAATTCTTAGAAATAACAGAATTTTTTTACACAATGCATACTTTACTCTCGGTATTGAAGATGTTTTATTTTTTTTTCACTTCCAGACAAATATTTCTATAAAACCCTGTAATCGAAACTACGTTGTATATAAATACTCATCATGTTAGATTCAAATTAAAAATTCAAGACGAAACAGTCGATCGTAGTTTTCTTTTTCTTTCTGTTTTCATCAATTAAAAAAAAAGAATCCATTAATAGGTGAAAGAAAAAACGTCAACACACATTTTGTAAACAAGAAAGCATATCGTTAGTTGGTAGTTATGGAGTGTTTCAACTTTTTATGAAAAAAAAGAGACGACGACAACGATGGAAACCTTATTCATAGTTATTGTACAAAATGAAACAAAAAATGGTCTAATTTGACTCCGAGAGAAAAAAAAAGATTTTTGAAAAAACATTTGTTTGAATCAGAAGATTAAGTAGTGAATTCACAATGGTTTCATATGGACAAAAGAAGTTTACTTTCACATCTAGAAGACATCTGGAGAAAAGGATATACGTCCAACGCTGATCATTTTCAGATTATTGTTTATTTAAATAATAAGTTAAAGTTTAGTCGAAATTTTATTAAGAACGGAAATTGGTAAGGTTGCTACAAATTCGTCCTAAAACGTAGCTGATATTTTCAATAAAAACGCATCAAAATGACTTCTGAAGGATATGCCAACATTTAGCTTTTTGATATGAGATTTTCGAAATCCCAGAAATTGGAAAACGTTTTTATTTGCATCGTCTTAAACCTGTAACGACAAGATGTATTTTTTCATGAATATCGCATTTAAAATTAAAAAAGATGCCGTTTTTACTTAGGATACACTATTTCACTGAATACAGAAAACTTTGACAAATTTCATTCCGCTTCATAGAAGCGAAATTCTATAAGGTTCTAACGCTTTAGAAAATTCTATCGCTTCAGCAGTACTGAGCCGGATTTTTCAAATTTTACATTAATTATAAATCGAAGCATCTTCTGTCAAAACCGCTAAAAACTTCTTCCAGGTTTTTCAGAGATTCTGTTTTACTCGTAGTTTTACTTAACTCACGAAATGAAATTGAAAAACTCGATTCTTTACCGTTGAAGTGGCAATATTTCTCTACGAAACGAATTTCTACGTGTCTAAATTGAATGAGAGTTTTGGAAAACTCTTAGAGCGACGAAGAGAAAAGTCGATTTAGAAATATGGCGGCGCTAGTGTACGGCACAGATTTTAGAATCCTTAATAAAATTGCCATGACTTTTGGTTAAACAATCTTCCTGAATTTGGGATACGACAAATTATAACTAGACATTTTACCTCTACAAACCAGCATCATTAAAATCCGATTTAATTTCGGCATTTTACCGAAATATTCGAATTTCAGACAAATCCGTTGGTATAAACTATTTATTAAGTAAAGTATTTTACCATAACTGCACTAAGTCGGACAAACCATTATATAGATATAGACAATGTTTTTATATAGTTAAAAAAGAAAATCCATCAAAGTAAACAATAAGAAAACGAAACAAACAAAAAACTAAAAAAATATTAAAATGTTGGTGGCAGATGTTTCAGACATGACCTTATGATTTTATGTTGAAACGTTTAGATTGGATATAGTTTAAGACGCATCAATATACAAATTCGAAATGTTCTCTACATAGTATCTCGTTGAGTAGAACTAAATCGAACGTAATAGGAACAGGTAAATTCACTGTAGTAATAGCTTCAAGTAGTGTTAGACAAATCAGTTTTTTAGGCTTTTAAGAAAACTTCTTTTGAAACCCTTAGATGGAATCAGCGAATAGATACCTTGGACTGTTCATCCGTGTGTTTAGCTGAGTATTGGTATGTTATGAAGAAATGCATATTTCTGACAGGGAGGGGGTCATTAACGTCTTGATTTTCACTATGATGCTATGTAAGTTTAAACCAATGCGAAGTTTATACCGGATAGACAGGTTTTTGTTCAAGATAGATGACAGATAATTTTTCTTTCGACAATCACCACTGTCAACGCCTTTCAAACTTAAAATATGTTGACAGTCGATTTTTGGAAAAAATATTATATAGGGCACTTACTGTAATTCATTTTTTTATACTCTATTGAATAGTCATATGTTAAAGCAAAAAAAATAAACGCTTTTTCTGTTAAATGCTGAATATCTTTTAAAACAGGTAAAAACTAGCATTTAGTAGTTTCTACTATGAACTTAATTTCCATTCGATGTAAACATCAGATTCATGGTTGGCATCAAAAACTGAGCCGAGCAATGTAACTTCTATCATATTTAGATAACTTTTGTTGTCGACCCAGTCAGAAAAACAAAGCACCTCTTTTTGCGCTTTTATCAAATGTAGAGATAGTAACTCATAATCCATTTTTCTTCTTAATTAGAATAACACTTTAGTGTCTTCATTAATAGGTTCACTATGAGGTGAGAATATGCGCAAAATTTTTATCAGTTTTCATGCTCTCAACAATTAATAAAACATACTAATAAAACATACACTTGAGTAAATAAATTTTATTCAGTAAAAAACTTCATTCACTCACATATGGTTGATACTCTCTATACTAAGAAAGCAACCTTAGTTGTGAAGATATTACCATACCGTCTTTTTTTCTCAATATCATTGAAAAACTGCAGTAGGTCGATGAAACCGATATACTACCGAGTTCATCTCAATCAGCGTTTTATAATGTTCCCCATGTGCTTAATATCGGCAAAATACTGATAGCTACCGTGAGATATACCGCCATAGTAAACGAAAATACCGTCTGGTATTTCGTCATTATGAACACGTAGAACAGGAGTTCGAAACTAAAATTCAATTTTCCTTTTTTTATTGTTAAGCACTTGTAATTGCAGACAGGCTCCCGATAGCGAGAAATTTGACCCGAGTCTATATGATCTAAAAGAAAAGTTTAATCTGACGAAGAAATCCAGTTTCTCGAGTTTTTCTGTTTCTTTTATATCTTCATGGATGTAAAATACAATGGTGAATGGATAAAAACGGTTACCGTGCGGTATTTTCTTAGACCACGGTCTTATAGGTTACTGTCGGTTAGCCGCGCGGTATACCAGAGTTGTAGCCGGTCTAGAAATACTAAATCGGTCCGATTCGGCTGGCCTAAAAATATTTCCGGACCGGTAAAAACCAAGTTCATCAAGTTTTTTCAGGTAATAAAATCGATATTACAGACACAAAATTTTGTTCTGAATACCTAGAGAATTTTGGGAAGAGATTCACTATGTCAGATAGCAAGCCAATTAGGACGAATTTGCATCTCAGTTAGGAAGCTACGGTATCGGCATATCGAAAGTAAAAAATTGAATTAATATGAAAGAAAAAAGATAAAAGCATATCAACGCCTAATACGTGACAATGTTGCGATTGCTAAGATATATATAGATAGAATAACCTCATACTATGCATTGTAGTCAAATGAAATCGTAGAATAGGAACAATGCATACAATGCAATTTCTCACTCAATGCTTGATGTTTCAAAAACGCGGCTAATCATCATTGTGCAACTCACGAAAAAACATCAGGAGGCTGTCTGCGAATTCAATTTCTGTTATACTTCACATAATCCTAAGGGTCACTCTGAAGGTGCAAGATGATCAAGAAGCCCGCAGCGTGCTGAAGTGTTTTTCAGTAGATAGTGGGATCTTCTTTCAATTCTGATTGTTTTTTTATGAGCGACAGGTGCGGTACAAAGTTAAGCCTATGTTGTAGAATTCTTTCTGAACTTTTAGGAAATGCATTTAGTAATGATATAAGGTGAGAATTAGTTTCATCGACGAATTGCCTTTTCTATTGGACTTACACCTCTACGCTAGGTTTACCATATAAATGTCATTTAAACCAGAGCTGATCACCTGCATAATTTTCACGGGTGGCAGTCTTTAAAGTCGTTACGAGATGAAAAATACTAATGTCTTCTTTTAGACTGTGAAGCTGTTTTGAACTCGTTACGAGTTCAAATGAGTGTTATGTTCTAATATAGTATAGGGAAGGCTGTTTTGAATTCGTACGAGTTTAAAAACATGTGACGAGTTCAAATGAGTGTTACATTCTCACATAGCGTAGGGGAGGCATGTTCATCAGGACGGGAGGGGAGCGGGTGGCATCATGAGAGTGAATGGACATGAACGCTACAGCACCAACTTTTAAACTCGTACGAGTTCAAAACAGCCAAAACTAGATGCACGGAAGCCTTTTTTCATCTTCGTACGAGTACGAATTTAACATGAAGTCATAATTTTTCACCTCTGCGCGGTCACCGCTCAGGGGTGAAATAAAATCTACCCGCATTGCAGTTTGCAGGTTTGAAAAAGATCTTTTGTTCTGCACAAGAAGAGGTTGAGGCGTGAAAACTGCTGCACTGCCCTGTCCTGCAGGTGGATCCTAAAATGAGGTATAATAATTTTTTTCCTACTGACCACTATCAGCCTGTATTACACACTGATAATTATAGACTATCACCAATTCACTATTCTTGTTGTATATTTTTCTTTTTCTGTTATCGTTAGAGTCTTTTGTCATCTTCTATATAGACCAATACTACACATGGTGCGCACTATGTAAAAGAACCGTAGGTCTATTGCATACAATAAGAGCGAGATTCATTGTTTTTCTTTCTTCTATATTTTTCGTTTAGTTTAATTTAAACTTTATTCATTTAAGAAAGAAAAATAAGAATAGTCGTTCTACACAGATGCGGTCTTAGGCCATTATATCAGAGGAAAATGACATGGCAAATGATATAAGCGATTACGGATAAAACGTTTCTCTCCTTCATCTCAAAATGTCTAGTAGACATACAAAAGAAACTATATGTCGTTTTCGTTACGAGATCGTTCTGATCTTCAGTGTGATCAAGATTTCTCCTGTCTTCTTGTTCTCTACACAAAAACGTCTTTCCCTGCAGTCACTGCAGAGAAAATTTTCTCCCCTGCATGGAGTGCAGGTAGGAAAACATTCACAGTGGGCATTTAGGCGGCGTTTTCTGAAAAAATCGTAGGTGCGAATTTTTTTGTTTTGAATAGTGGTGTATATAGTATAAACAATTCCCTATTTAATGATAAAAAAATTTTTGTTCTAGCTC